AGTCACATGACCGAATCTCCTCCCACCACAGCCCGCGTGTCGGCTCCTCCTATGAGCCCAGACCGGGCCGATGCATTGAGGCGCATTACCATGTGATCACTTTCAATGGGGTGACAACGTAGGGATGCACCGATACTAGTACCGATACCGAGTATTGGGGCGACTGCTCGCACTCTCCCAATTGCCTAGCCCGGTACTTCCTGTGTCAGGAAACCGGTCATTACGCGCTGCCCGGCCGGGAAGCCGGCTCCGTGCTCCCTTGTGATGCGAGAGCATGGAGCCGACTGCCCGGCCAATCAGGAAGCCTGGCGCCGTGTAATGACTCCCCACCCGGCTTCCCGGTTACCAGGGAAACCGTCCCCATGCTTTTCCTCACTAGGTGACGAGGGACCATAGAGACGGCCAATCATGGAAGACGGGCACCGTGTAATGACGCAGCGCCCGGCTTTCCGATTGGCCGGGAATCCGTCACCCCACGACGAGGGAGCATGGAGCCGGATTCCCGGCCAATCGGAAAGCCGGGCGCTGCGTCATTACACGGTGCCCGTCTTCCATGATTGGCCGTCTCTATGGTCCCTCGTCACCTAGTGAGGAGAAGCATGGGGACGGTTTCCCTGGTAACCGGGGAATCATTACACGGCGCCCGGCTTCCTGAATGGGACTCGGTTTCCGGTACGGGTGCGTCCCTGGTGACAACACATATTATTAGGGGACACGCACATTTCTGTCTTGCAGCACACCACAACGCAGACACGGTTCACCTACATGCGTGCGGCGCCTGGATGCAGGTTCCAGGGCGCCATTCAGAGCATGGAGCTTTGTGGGTCACCTGCATCGTGCGCAGTGATGACGTGGCCCCCTCGGGTGTCTTGGCTCAGGGGCCCCCTAATGCCATCGTCTGAATGGGCCCCTGAAATAGAAACAGGCCAATCTGAGGAGCCGGGACGCCACATACATGACACACGCTCCCCAACGTTTTGCATATAAAGTATAACGGGGACGAGTTTACCGAGCCCGCCCCGGGGGTTTCCGGTTCTCTCAGAGGTGCCGGCGGCAACGCGTCTCTGGAAACTGTGCCGACCGCCCCCCGAGGGGCGATACGAAGTGTTTCCCAGCCGGGTGACAACAACCTGTAACATTGCCATCGATGTAGCTCAGACGTGTCACCGTGCGCCCGGCGCAGGGTCACGGAGCGCTCCTGACACCCGCTGGCCGCCGGAGGAATCACAAGACGGAGAAACAGCAAAAAGATTTTCATTTTATTACATTGTATAAAAATACAAAACAAATGTCCAGCCAATCAGACGGCCAATCAGACGAGCCAATCCACATTCACCGAGAGAGAATCATTGGCAGCACAATATTGTACAGATGAAGATCTTCCATCGCTGACACAAACTGACCGGACCGCAGTCTCACTTCTCTTGCCTCGGTCCGTGTCACTTCCTGGAATCTATCATTCAGCTCCTAGGGGGCGGAGTCGGGGCGACTCGCGGGGAATAACGGATTAAGAAATCATTAAGAATCAGTGGCACGTAATAGAATTTCATGAGCACATGTATGTGACGCAGGAGGAGGGGGGGGGACCGAGCATTCGGATCAGAACATTATCATCAGACCACAAGGGGCTCCATTCATCCCGGTGTACAATGATCGCCGTGTCCTCATCTCTGTGTGCGTGTTACAGGCCATTCATAACAATGTATTACCAATGGGACATCTTTATCAATGGTCTGCAGAGTATACACGGGCCCCCCCCCCCCAACCCCTCCGCCC